AAATAAAGAAGAAGGCAAGGAAACGTGCTTCTCTAGGGAATGATTTATTTATCTCTGTACAAGAAGGCCGTGAGCATATACAGCAGCTTGATACACAGCTTAATGAGCAGGTTGATGAGCTTACACCTATGCCTCGTCAACGCGCTTCACCACGCTGTAGTGGCTGTGGGACTGTTGGGCATACAATAAGAAGCTGCCCTAATAAATAGCTAGATATTTTGTCTGTTATATATTTTAATTCAATGGTGTTAGTGGTTGCAAAGCTTCAAATTCGTGGTGGTTGCGGAGGAAGTGGACGGGACGGCCGTGTGGACGGCTCGGCCGTGGATTACGTTAGTGAATCTCTGGAACTTGATTACATCATCACTACCGGGCTGTACATGATGATAATCAGAAGGATCCGAATCGTCTGCGGCACCGGAGTACCAGTATTGATCTTAATTGGACATGAAGGGGAAACGGGATACGAAGTCGACAATAGTACGAACCTGTATATCTCGATTTTTTTTTTTTTTTTTTTTTTGGTGATCGACTTTCAAGGTTGCCATGATACTTTGTGTACTCAAATATATATTTGTGGCTGGCTTGCTCTTCACGCGGAGCTGGTCAGCTCTACTGATCTGCTTCCACTGGGACTAGTTAAACCATGATTTACAATACCCGCATAGATGGAGTGTAAAGATGACCACGACGTGCTGGAGCGTCGTCGCGCACAGAACCGAATAGCACAGCGCCGATTTCGTCGTTAGTGAGGCCCCGTCGCAGATACCTAGAAAAGGTTTCGTGGAAATTGGTGAAGAACGAAAGGGCTAACGCGGTAATCTCAATCTCCAGAACGACAAAATCAGCAAGCAGCCGCAATACAGCTGAGAAACACAGCAACAGATTCCCCTCCAGAGCTGCCTTGTCCCGAACTCACCCCCGAGGAAGTCTCCAGCCTCGGATCCCTCACCTCTCCTACCATCCCGGTCACTGAATGGACCGAACCAGCTGACAGCCTGGAAGCAACAGCCTTCAATACACACCTAGACGATATAAATTTCGCTGACATGGACAACTTTTGTGACACAAATACCGACGCCATGATTTCCACCGATCTTTCTATGGGCTCGAAGAAGCCCGAACATCAGATTCTCGGAGCACCCGTCTGTGGAAACTCCACCCCCCCCTTCGATAATATCAGACCCAGAAGCCAGTCTCACACTATTCCCAATCTTATCGTTTCAGTAATGGAAGAAGGGTCCGGTTCCGCAGCGACAACAGGCTGGATGAGTCCGCTCCACATGGCAGCCCAAAGGGGACATAACCGAATCGTACGCATGCTCCTCCAATATCACCCACTTTGTGATGAGAGGGACAGCGACGGGGTAACGCCTCTGATGCACGCCACCGTTGGTGGCTACGAAGATGTGGTGAGCTCGCTGTTGTCGCATGGAGCGCGGATCGATAGCGTGGATTGCCGAAACCGATCGGTGCTTCATTGGGCGGTGTTACATCGACGGGAGGCTCTGCTCAAGATGCTATTAGCCTACTGCGCGGGCGATCATGCCGTCATTGATGCATACGACAATGCGGGGAGAACGGCCCTGCATACAGCGATTGACACAGGGTTTGAGGCAGGAGTCCACATTTTGCTGCAACTAGGAGCGAACATACATTCTAGGGCTAGAAAGATTTGAAGGATGCTGGGACACATGATAGATCTCTTTTCATGCATCTAGAATCTGGGTCTCATGTTTTTTTTTTTTTTTTTTTTTTTTTGCTCTTATTTTGTTCACTGGCAGACGCACATTTCTATATAGCCGTGGAAGGAGGAAGAAGAAACCATCTAGACTATGGGAGAAACATAATCTTTGATCTTCTCAGAAAAAAGGGCAAGAAGAATGGCGATACCCAGATAGTTAGGACCTCTGTGGTCAACAATATCAAGAAATTCCATGGGCACCTAGCTATATGAAGTTAGATTGAAGGAGGTGAGGGAAAAGATTATCCCTGCCCTGCATACAATTACATCACGTCTATCACAATACTTTGATTTAGAAGATCTCAAATCATGGAGCGCCAGTGGGAGTGAAATATTTTACCATGTGGAACCTTGACTGCAATAAACTTCCTAGTTAACAACACTTTTGAAGTACGAGTAATCTAAATTCTAACCTATCAATGTTACGTAATTGGGCATATATAGACTTCAGAGTAACTGCAGTGCGCCAGGAGAGTATAGATTTGTGGAACTAGGCCCATAGGTCTTGACACTCTAATGAAAGGGCCATATACATACTGTTGACTTCCATATACGCTGAAGACTGATTGATATGCTCGCTGCTCCGACTGACCAATCAGAGCCTGAATTGCCCGCCTATTTACGACGTAATTCTTGCTCATGCCTAATCGTATCCACAGAGGATATGATAGAGAGATAATAGGACCGGGGATTACGGCTATGCAGCCAGCATCCTTTGACTATGGCCACCGCATACACGCATAATGCACTTTGTACTCCTTTTGTCTCTTTGAACTTCTTTCGCAACGACCTTCCCTTTTGCGCTTAGTTGACGGCCGCCAGATTGTTTATAAAAAGGCCGTACGATAGATAGATATCTAGAATCAGAGTTCTTCCTCTATTCACTCCGAATGGTGCCTATGACATCCTTCCGAGCATAGTATTGACACATACTGATTCCTACGGTTGATAACTTGATAATCAGCACATGATTCACTGATACTGCCCTTCTTTTAAAAGCAATAAGCGACACTAACAGCTCATCCCTTCCAAAAATATGTGGCTCCCTGATGCCTGTCATGACTCATGGCCTCGTGTTGCGGCCAATTGTTGGAGAATCCTGGAACCCATTTTAGAACATCCCGTATATCCTGTCTCTTTCTTGTTCTTTTTTTACTTTCTGAAGTGCAAACTGCCTTGGCATGAAGAGCGCTTGCTCCACTGCAACCTGAGGTGATGAGGGAAAGCTCCAAACATCAGACAGTTTTGCCAGAATCATTATGGGCTGATGATTCTGTTCAACAAAAGCGCAGTGGTAAATTTCTTACTGAGCGAGATAATACGGCAAGGTCCCAGAAACTCATTGATCGCTCATATCGCTTTGGAATTCCAACAAAAGCGCACAGAAATGGCCCGTCTCTTTCAACTGTGAAGGAAGAATAACCAAAGGCTAAGTACCATAAGTCATATAATGTTGATCAAGCAGGCTATGGGGTGATTGCTCTAAAGGATGTCGAAGAATTTCCTACTTTCCTGATAAAGAAACGCCAAATACCCAAGTCATGGCCATTTCAGGAAGCTTCGCACAAACATCTAGTGTCATTGACAGACTTCTACACAGAATCCAGCTCGATTTGTTTAGTCTATGAGTACGTGCATTTAGCTATTCCACTAGGCTGCTTGGCAGGGATCGTGGATTTCAGTGAGGCGGATATAGCCACTGTTTGCAGAGAGATTCTAGATGGTCTCATTTATATTCATTCAAGCTCAGCATATTACACGGCTCGGTTGACTGCAGCAATGTCCTCCTAAACAAGAAAGGAGAGATACAATTGGGTAGGCAAAATCTTGCCCTTGATTTCTATGAAGGGCTAATGATATCTCTAGCAAACATTGGAGACAGTATGCTAAACAGCAACATGCTGAGCAACTGGAAGTCAGATGTAGCAGCCGTTGGTTTCATTGTTATCTGTCTCAGTGACAAAACTGCCTTGATTTCAGGAGTCGCTCCTTTGAAAATTGCGCTATCAAGTCCAGCTCGTGGGTTCATAGAAAAGTCAAAAACGGAGTCGGCTAAAGAACTTTTGAATGTAAGATTTTCCCTTTTACAGTCAATATTGAGAAAGGTGTTGACAACTTGTAAGGATGAATTTTTGTATCTAGCAACACCAGGAGGAGCATGGAGCCTAAAGCGACATTATTTTAATGCACTTCCCTTGAGCATCCGGTTCGGCAGCCGAGTTTGTGAAGATAATTAAATTTCATCATGGCGCCGAAAAATGGAGATTAAAAGCGGCAAATAAAATCATGAGAGATTGACTTGTCTAGCTAGGTATCTGAGCCAAGAACCTATATCCCCTGTATTCATACCATCGCCAGCTCAGTAATTAAGAGTTAATCACTGATGTGGAATAATGGCTTGAAACCTAGCCATTCCTAGATAAGCTAAACTCGCAATCAATGAAAGTTATGCGACGGACAGTAAAAATGCAGAAGAATTTGACTTTAGTTCTATGTATTTAAGAAGACTGAAAGACGCAGAATATTGATTATATCTAGGGCCGAAAATGGATCAAGTAGAACATTTAAGTTACAGTACGTATATTGACTTTATAGAATCACTTCTCGGCCGCCTTCTTACAAGAGGTTATTTCTAAGGCTTTGTGATAAAGTATTTTGAAGCATGCCAGGAAACATTTGACTACAACCCAAAATCGGGCCCCATAAAGCATAGTATATCAAAGCCAGAAACGCCTTATATTTCCCTTCGACCCGCGACACCATTTCGTCGCGCTGCAGACCTCTTCGGTGTCGCAGACCCACAATCACTTCTTACTAAAATGAGCAGGGACAGACTGGAGGGTAGGGACAGACTTTGAGCGGGAAGTCACCAAAAGGGTTCGCACACCTCAATAGACATATAAGAGTATTCACGGAATTAAAACTCGCTGAGAAAGCATGGAATTTGCTACCAACCCACTTGGCCAAATGCGGACCTATCTTTCTTCTTCAACCATGTGATATCCTCAATCTGGAATCCTTTTTCAACAAGATCGTTCTCCTCTAGGACCTTCTCGATTCCCTGTCTCTTGTTTCCATCTAAGTCAAAGTCTTCAAAGTGGAATGCGGTGGACCACAATGCCAAATCATGGTCTCACTAATTTAGTGTCGTTTCCCAGTTCCTCCAGCCACTCAGTGTTGTTTCGGGCCGTCTCAGCTGACTGGGCGTCTTTGAATGTGATTATATATCCCGTCTTTGTTGTGCCAATGCTTGCCACGTGTGCGTACTTGGTGGGTTCTGCATTCAGCAGGGCTGACCTGATGTGTGTATATGCAGCCCATGATTTAGCTAGGGGCGTGTTCAGTTGTCGCCTTTCGGTTTCGGAACGCAGGGCTTGGATCTCCTCTTATAGTTCTGCATTCTGGGCTCTTAAGAGCTGTTGTTCCGCTTTAAGTTCCCCAATGGGATCCCTTGAGTCTTCCAGGCTCCTCCTGGTTTTTGCCATGCAAGTCCCGCTCCACACCTGCCATTCTCTAATCTTGATCCGTCTGACCAGATTGCTAGCCCAGGAGAAAGAGATTGCGCCGCTGCTAGGGCCTCCAGGCCTGGTAGCACTTCTATTCGGCCTGGGAACTGGCTACTAGTCGTCTGTATCGTGCTTTCAGAGCCCTCGGATGGGTCCGCTGGTAGGATATTGGCTAATTGTCAAGCGAGGGTGTTGTCCCAGGGACCATGGGCCTCGGTCGCGGCATTGTAGTACCTTATGGTTTCAGAAATACAAGACCAAACAATAGTAGCCATGCAATGTTTATAGAGTTTTTCTAATGAAAAAGACGTAGTTCTTCAATTTGAGCCTAAAAATCATCGTTGTCACACCCAGCCATTAAATCCAAACACCAGCATATCAGCTTTCAGGAAGACATAATGCTTCTTCCACCATCTTCAGTGAGTCTGCTTCTGACTTTCACTTCTAGATATCCAGAGCCCAATTTTTGGATTATTTCATCTATGTCACTCCCTGTAGGGGTTCCGATCACAGCACTTGGGGAGAAAAGCAAGGCCTCATCACCTCTGACCATCAGCCTTGCTGGGCACTTTTACAATACTTTAAGCCTGAAATTCGGCCTGGGCTCCTAGGTCCAGCCCCCAATGGAGTTGGACCCTTTTTCTGTCGATCGCTGTGCAAGGCGAGCTCGACAGATGTCACCCTGAATGCCTAGCGTTTTGTATACTTTCAAATAAAAGATACCATCAAGACGAAAAGTTATAAATTGAATAAGAATGTCCTTGAAATATCTTCCATTCATAATCAAGGATTGTTCTAGGGAAGTTGTGTCTGAGCCATGCCTCTTCAGCATCATTGTGCAGTATAGTACATTTACCAACGGCCGCTCTGAAGCGGCGAGGCCAGGATGGAAATGCCACTGGTGCATCATATGTTGGAAACAAGCGACAAACACTAATAACCAAAAACTCAAAAGTGCGTGGTCCTTCGAGGGAGAGACATCGGGCTTTTTATAGATGCAACAGATGCGTTGAGGCGGCATGTGAGCGGCCCAAAAGCGGCGCGAGGCGGCGCTATCCCTGACACAGTAGGCGCCATACCGCAAAGGGCAATGGTATTCCCGTTGACAGCAGGCGGTAGGGCTCGGCAGAAGCGCGGTTCAATGGGAGCCGTTTCTGGCGCCCCGCTAACCGTGTCATCGTATACTCCATATATAAACAAGTCTATAATATATACATTTTTATTTTATTAAGATATTATCTTCTTCTAATTATTAGTGGTTGAGATATCATGGTTGTAAAAAGGGCCATTTAGTATGCAATATAGAGATGCGCCGTTCGCTTGTGGATTACGTTCACTAACTAAACAATGATTCCCAAAACAGATTAGCGCATCGCGTCGCGTCCTACTCCAGTAGTATTTTCTCCTCCACACACATACATACTTGTACTCCCCAAAGCACCGCATCACCGGAGTACTCTGTACTCCATATAACCCACAAAAATGCCAACAGCAATGCCAACACCCTCTCGCCACAGCCGCTACTCCACCACTGACACCGCCACCAGCGACAACGACAATGACATCCCCACCCTCGACACCCAACTCCCCCCCTACGAACCCCCCCTCGCACCCCTAACAGCAAACTCCCAACACGCCCTCGCAAACCTCGCCCAATCGCACAAACTCAAAGCCCTCCAAACACATATCACGCACGCAGTCGAAAAACTGGGTGACTCGGCGGCGCAGGTTAATGAGCGATTGACTGATGCGAGGGAGCGGTATACGAGGTATATGGCGAGGAAGCGATCCAGAAGCCAGTATGAGAATGATGGTGAGGTAGATGACGATGGTGGAGATGAAGAGGATGAAGAAGTCCAGCGCATCAAAAGAACAGAAGAACAAGTCCACGCTATAACCGAGAAACTCGAGTCTGAAATGCGCGGCATCGTCGATACAGAAGTCAAAGCCGGTGGACTTATCTCCATCCTCGCAGACCTTGGCAAAGAAGCAGAAACCGCGTCGACGACTACACAGCGCCAACAACCCCGTAACACGCGGCGAAGACGAAACCCCAATCCTGACTCCGACGAAGACGAAGACGAAGAAGACGAAGACGAAGAAGACGAAGACTACCAAGAAACCCAACAACAAGCCGTCGAACCACCCAGCCAAAAACTAACCCACCAACTCACAACCGAAACCCAAAACTGGAACACCCTCTCCCTAACCCAACGCTACTCCACAAACAACACCTACATCGGCTTCTACCGCATGGTCCACGACGCCAAGCACCCCGGCGACGACATCCCCCCTCTCCCACACGCCTCAACCTGGTTCAGACACCTCGAAGATCCATCCACCGCCGCAGCCCCTCCACCATCCCAGAGACCGCAAACACGCCGGCACCAATCCACACCGGCTGAGGATGATGAAGATATTGCTATTGAAAGCGAGCGTGTTTCGCTGAAGTGTCCGTTGACGCTGCTTACTTTCCAAGAACCGTTGACGTCGAGGAAGTGCCCGCATAGTTTTGAGAAGCAGGCGATTATGGATATGGTTGCGCATAGTCCGATGATGGTGCCGGGTGATGGTGGGGATCGGAGGAATCGCGTCCGTGCGGTCAAGTGTCCGGTTTGTTCGGTTGTACTGACGCAGGAGGATTTGAAGAGGGATGCGGTTTTGGAGAGAAGGGTTAGGAGGATGCAGAGACAGCAGGAGGAGGAGGATGAAGATGAGGATGAGGACGAGGATCGGGGAGAAGGCAATCGGAGGAAGAGAAGCAGGGCTCAGCGAAAATCCGGCATTACGGTTGCTAGTGACGATGAAGATGATGATGACGATGATGATGATGAAGAAGTAGAAGAAGAAGAAGAAGCGCAGCCTGTTCGGGTCAAGCAAGAAAAGGCCATGTCTCGTGCTCCCAGTGCTCTTTAGTTGTACATATCAGAGTACTGTGAATACAATTGCTATACAGCACACAAAGATTTGAATATCTCGATTGACCAGCTATCCCGACCACACCGGTCGCGGGGTATATAATAACAGACTAACAGTACATAATAAACGCGCTGGATAGAAAGGACGTGTCGTCAGCATGACAGTCATCGCGAGTCGCATAAAGACAATCAGAGGGAAAAGAATCAGAAAAAGTAAAGCCGCCGTCCAAGCAATTCATCTGTTCCAGACAAATGAACACAGCGTAGAACCAATATAAAAAGTTAATCCGAAGAGATTACTTGGTGAGAATGCGAAGATAATCGGCCACGATCAACGTCACCATCCTGTGGAGCAGTGGGTCAGCAAAGAACAGCTAAAGCAGACGGTGTGGGGACACTAACGCATGAGGCGCGATCCGCACATAATACGTGCCAAAACCACGGTAAAACCGCAACCAACCCTCATCCCGGATGACCTTGCCGGCACAGTCCAACATACCCTTGTATGGCACCTTCCCAGTCTGCGGATCCTTCTGCTGCTTCTGCAGACGCGTCTTGATAAAGTCAAACGGCAACGACAAGAAACTAGCAAAGAATCCCGCAATAGCGGAAGCCGCAAACGTCTGGTTCTGAGCCGACAGGTTCGTCCGCGAAGCAAGCTGAGCCTTGGACTCGGAGAAGAACGCCAACTGGCCCAAGTTGAGCGACATGGCACGCACAACAGTCGGGAAAGCACCAGCCCACAACGCACCAACACCCTCAGTCTTCGAGATACGAGCCAGAGCATCAATAACACCACGGTAGTTCGCACGCTTCTCAGGAGCCTTCAGCCCATCAGACTGCATGCGAATAAGAGCCAAATCGGCTGGGTTTCCAACCATAGCGGCAATACCACCGGCAGCGAGACCAGCACCGGCACGCTCGCCAAATGACACGCCTCGGTTGGCAGACTCGGCATTCTTGTTCAGCGTCTTCATGAAGGTATCAAAGAATCCCAGACGAGCAGTAGTGTAGACTGCCTGGCGCAGCAAACCAGCGGACAGACCGGTGTAGAGGTCGGCCACCTTGCCCGTGGCGATGATATCGCGGGCCACGCCAAACGCAGAGGGACGGGGGCCGGTGCGGACACCTTCACCGGCGAGTTGGAGACGGACCTTGATCATGTCGAGGGGCTGGATAACCACGGTAGCAGTCATTCCTGCAAGACCGCCGTTGACGAAGGGGAGGGCTGCTCGGGTGTAGGGGTGGTGGAGGAAGTTGGGGGCAGGCTGGGCCTGGGAGGGAGCTGCTTCTTTGACGGTAGCCATGGCTGTAGACGTTAGTGGATGATCATATAGCCTGGATGAGAGCTATGAGGATGAGCACCTACCGTAGAGATGGAAGTATTACAACGTCACAGAAGCAGAAGCAATAACAAGAAGAACGAGGTAGGCGAGTATATATATACCAGCTCGGGAACGAAACAGAGAACCGAAAACGCAACCAAGACGAGAGCAGGAGAGATGGAAAGGAGATGAGGCGAGGACGTCAACCTTCTAGCCAGATATAATAACCGACGAAACAACGGAAAGCGACGGATCTGCCCGATTGGGTAACTGCGTGCTTGCTCTTTCCTATACTTGTATGCTCTTTCTATCTACGGCATTATATACTACCAATGCCATCCATTCTCTCGCATACTTCTCTGCAATTAACAATACCCAACATGTACACTTATACTAACTGTTCTATCATCCATTGTCCATTCTACAATACTCATACTCTCAAGCACTCATAATACAACGATAATAACCTCCCCCAAAAACGTCATAAACTGCGGGGCCGGTAACTTACATAACAATACATTACACGTACACATCCTTCCTGTCACCCGCTAGTCCGTTTTAAGTAACCACGAGAACCGACCGGGATCCCGACACTCGATATCCTACCCCGTATAGCCATAGCATGAACCGAGTACATATCCGTGCCAGTTTAGTATCTTGATAACCATTGATAATGAGTACTATAACAGAATAATTGATACTGATACTAGTTAGTATCAGATACTATGGAAGTAAAAGGATGTATTCCCTCCGCCCGAATCTCACCCGAGGATATACATCTGCCTTGGTACATGCTACTACGGTGTATACTAGCACGGTTCCATTTCTCCCGCATCCCTGTCACCACTGAATTATATTCTTCCGTTATGGGGGTACCCCTCGGGTGACGGTCCGGTATGTGTTTTGTCGCTACTGTTGTTAGCACACGGGTCCACGGACCGTGGCTGATGAGGCCAATCACCAGCCCATAATTACTAGTTCAATGGGGTGTAACTGCCAATGATGGATCCCGCGGGAAACTGCCGGTAAATATTTTTACCTAGATCTAATTCCCGGGGTCGGTTTCCTGGTTTTCCTGTCAGCCGAGATAGATGCGTAGTGGCTGTCTCGTCGGTAATGGTTGTGGCAAGCATCTTATCATCATCATCAGAGGCCTAAGCATGCTAGTCACGATGCTACAGGCAATTACAGATTCAAGTACGGAGTATGAAGTACGGAGTAAAGAATAGGATAAAGTATTCAGGTATCAATGATATCATTCTTTTCCTCTGTACATAAAAATGAATACAAATATCAAAACTCACGCCATGCAATTATTTAACCCAAAGCAAACAAAGGAAAACAACAATAAAAAACGAAATCATTGAACCACCGGCCCAGCGGCAATCACATCTTCTGTTGCCTGATCCGAGTACTTGGTGAAGTTGTCGTTGAACAACTTGCCCAGCTTGTTAACCTCGCCCTTGAAGCTTGTCGACGCAGTCCAGCTGTTCTTGGGGTTAAGCAGCTCCGAGGGAACACCCGGGCAGCTCTTGGGAACGGGCAGGTTGAAGACGTCGTACACTTCGTACTCGGCGTTGGCGAGCTCGCCGCTGTGGATGGCGTCCAGGATGGCACGGGTGTACTTGAGCGGGCAACGCTTTCCACCAGTGGTAGCGCCAGCACCAACCCAGCCGGTGTTGAGGAGCCATGCGTTGGCCTTGTGCTGCGAGATCTTGTCCGCAAGCATACGGGCGTAGCGCATGGGGTGCAGAGCCAAGAAGGGCTGAGCGAAGCAAGACGAGAAGGTGGCCTGGGGCTCGGTGACACCGTCCTCAGTACCAGCCATCTTGGAGGTGTAACCAGAAATGAAGTGGAACATGGTCTGCTCAGTGGTGAGCTTGGAGATCGGAGGCAGGACACCACGGGCATCGCATGTCAACAGGATGATGTTGGTGGGGTGGTTGTCGCTAATGCAGGGGAGCTTGGCGTTGTCAATGTACTCAATGGGGTAGGCGCAACGAGTGTTCTCAGTCAGGGTGTTGTCATCGTAGTCGACTTCACGGGAGATGGGGTCGAAGACTGTGTTCTCCAGAACCGATCCGAAGCGGATGGCGTTGAAAATGTCAGGCTCCTTCTCAGCAGAGAGACCGATGCACTTGGCGTAGCAGCCACCCTCAATGTTGAAGACACCAGTGTCAGTCCAGCAGTGCTCGTCGTCACCGATCAGAGCACGCTTGGGGTCGGCAGAGAGAGTGGTCTTGCCGGTACCCGACAGACCGAAGAAGACGGTAACATCGCCGTTCTGACCCTCGTTGGCAGAGGAGTGCAGAGTCAAGACGTTGTGCTTGACGGGCATTTCGTAGAAGAGGATAGTGAAGACACCCTTCTTCATCTCACCGGCGTACTCGGTACCGAGGATAACCATCTCCTTCTCGGCGAAGTTGATGGCGACGGAGGTGGCCGAGGTCATACCCTCGGTGAAGCGGTTGGCGGGGAAAGAACCAGCGTTGTAGATCACGTAGTCGGGGTGGAAGTGCTCAAGCTCCTCACGCCTGGGGCGGATAAGCATGTTGCGCATGAAGAGGGCGTGGTAGGCACGGGCGCAAACAACCCGGACCTTAATACGGTAGCGCTCATCCCAACCGGCGTAACCGTCAATAACGTAGATGCGGTTACGGGTGTTGAGGTAGTCGACAGCACGTTCACGGTTGATCCGCCAGACCTGAAGGAGTTTAGTTAGCCTCAGCCCTATAAAATGATGTAATGACACGTGATGCGGCTGATGGAGTATGCGGATCACGCTATGCCTAAAAAGGCAAATTGGTCACATGCCCCTATCTTCGGGTTGTACACGATAAGGGATGCATAAATGCCTCAAACGTCGCAGGAAGACATGTCACAAAGTATCCATAGCAGCGGCATTTTTTCATGGCAAATTGGAAAAATGCCGCTGCCAGAAAGCTTGACCGCGACGACGCAAGGGAGAGTGCATGGGCAAAGAAAATGTAACAAAGAAAACTTACATCAGTGGTCATGGGCTTGTTCACGGGTCCCCACCAGACATCGTTTTCTGACGATTCCTCCTTGACGACCCGCTTATCTGAGGGAGAACGGCCAGTTTTGGCACCGGAGTAGGCAGAGAGAGCACCGCTTGAGGTGATGGCAGAGCCGGTTTCGTAGACGAGAGCATCTTCGTAGAGGGCAGGGACAGAGGGGTTTGCGATCTGACTAGTTAGTATACAGGCATAAGACTTGACAAAAAGAGGAGAGACATACAATAGCGACACGGTTGTAGTCAATGTGTGCGTGCTCATGGAGCTCCTCCTCGAGTTCAGTGTGACGGTTACCCGGCCTGGGACAGTTAGTTGCCACGTCCAGACAGTAGTAGAAGGGAGAAGGAAGACATACTGGACACCACCAGGGTGGAGAGCGGTACGATTCACAGAAGTAGCAACCATATTGGCGAGAGAAGTAGAATGATAATTGTTATTGCGCTGCTTTGCGACTTGTTGTTCAAAGAAATCTGAATAGAGAGGACCAGATTCTCTCGGGGGACCCGGGGGTATATGAATGTTCTGCGAAGGGGCCATGATTCGGTGGTTCGCGAGTTGGAGAGCAGCCGTTGAGGCGGTTTGCCTTGGGTTCTCCACACGGGAGATGTCGGACTAGTGGCGATGATCCGAAAAGACCCGAGTAAAACCCCAGATTATTGCGAGTGGGCACGAATAGGTTACGGAAGCGCTAAGAATGGATAAAGGAATAGACAGGGGGGGGGGGGGGGATTGGGTGGAATTGCGAGAAAATCACGCGTGATTTTTGGTGCAGGTATGCAGGAGAAAGTAAGTTATAACTGTCCCATACAGAGTAGAACAGGAAAGAATGATTTTGTCACGATGGCCACGACTACGCAGTAATGACGTTACGGTCTATAAAGTTCAACCAAGTCCATAGTGATAACCAGAGTAAAGCAAAGAAACGAATAACCCGAAACGAATTCTATTCACCACAACTAGAACACAATAATGCCATGCAAACGTAGTGATCCGGCTTCGTGACGAAATGCCGGTCGAGGGGAGCACCATCGATGCTCTGATTGGTTACCGACCATCCCCACTTACATAATAGCCATCCAGTCGCTGGGCCGAGGGTACCCTTGCGGGCAGCCAATCAGAATACGCGCTGGTCCTGATTTCGCATCAATGGGAGAACTTATTGCCGCTGTCGTTTTTGTATGGTACGTGGTAGTACTAGTATAAGATCCTTTTCTCCGTTGCCACTACAGTACTCTTGGAGAGTACTCTGTAGAGTAGAAGCAGGGACCATGAATCGATAGTTTGTGCTCCGTATTGAAGGGAGTAGTAAATGCGGTCTACAATGACAAACGGTCTCGACCGCAGGACTCGGGAAGGCGAAGACATTTCGGGAAAGATTACGTAGTGCTGCACGAGATGCATCAGAACAAGAGCTTAGCCTGCTCCATAATTGATAATGATAGCCCATCTTTAGGACTACTCCTGACTACTCCCTACAAAACCAATCCTGCACTGCTTCCGAGTCGGAATGTCAGACATTCCGATGCGGCATTTTCAGTTGGTCAGAACAAAGCCCTCCCTATATGTCCCGGCTTAGATCCTGTTGCAACCGGTTCCTTGTCCTACATTGCCCGAAGTGGACCTGCCGAGTCGGGGAGGAGGGCATGTGCTTTATTCACACTTCTGTGACCATTATTCAGTGTATACCCCAGTTATTCATAAGGTCCTTTCCTCTGTCTGGAGACTCCGCAGTTCGGATGCGGGGTACAGTAGTTCAAAGGATTGTTTCTTGGTTCTGTCCGGTGACTCTTTTTTTCCGATGTCACGGGATTCTGACCATGTGGTCTGGTGTAGTCACGCCCAGTATAACTGTAGAATCATCCTGACCACTCGTCGCACTTCGCCCAGACCGGTTCTTTGATCCAAGGACCCCATCAATATTTGTCCACCTTTCTCAACAGGAGCCCTCGATATTCTCGTTGCCGTCAATTCGCCAACCCCTGGTGAAGGTAATCAAACCACACAGCGCCCCAGAGATTGGGGGGAAATCTTCGAATTTCTCCGTTTCATCGTTGAATTTCTTGGTCTTGCCTCCAAAACATGTACCAACATCATGCGCATCCATTTGCTGTTGTCACCGCTCTGTAGCCGTGCTGGTCCGATGTTCTGCCTTTCCAGAAGATGATTGACATCGTCAATTATCCATTTTTCATCGGTGCAAAGGGTCCTTCGATAATTAATGTGCCTTCTCTGACCTCGCCAAAGGGTGAGGTGGTATCCTCGAGCATGACGCTGCATCCAGTCACAGTTGCTGAAGGTCGTGCATTGGCCGTGATTTTCTTATATACTACGGGTAAGTTGATAGATGCCCACGACCATGTAGGCGCACGTTACTCCGATGCAACCACCCCCTAGCTCTTGTATGCCATATCAGATCGTACAGGGATGCTATATTCCCACATGCCAGCCAAGTATCAACACGAAGCGCAGAGAAATTGACGACTGGGAATCAACGGCGACTTCGCGCCCGAAGATGAAGAAGGAACTCGAGCCCACTTACTAGTCCACGACTTACGACCGCCTTTCCTCGATGGCTGCCCATGGCTCGGAACATTTGTATAGGTTAGGAAGGCCATAAGAGTAAAAGTATGACCTGGGTGAATCAAGGATGCATCGGCAAAACATTCATCACAGTAAGAGAAATCGTGGCATTCCTGACACTTATAGCCTTTTTATAATTTCAGCGGTGCAAGAATCGCAGAATGGAGCTCGACCTTTAAGAGATTCAACAACAGCATTGATGTCGTCGCCGGAAGAATTCATATGCAGGATAAAACCGTGGAATAGATACCGTGATATCGAAATATGTTACTATCTACTTTTATCACATCATGAGATCGACTTGAAAGTGAATACATTAAGTGCATTGCATTCACAGCCTGACTGAGGGCCAAGTGCAGTTGCCCTATTTGCCTTGTCCGTGGGAGAAATGACACCGAAACAAAACAAAAAAAAAAAAAAAAAAACAATGATATTACACCGGTAGTAGGGGCAACACGCCGGCAACCAATTGGAGGACAAAGAATGCGAATTCAAGATGAATTGTATCCTTTCTTTGAGGTATATACCCCTGTGGGAAATCCCGTAAGTCATGATTTTGAGTCAATGATGGGTTTGACAAAAGTACTAATAAACATGGAAGATAGAAAGTCGAGGAAATTGACACTGTACACGTATCGCATCAAGGCTGAAGCCTAGAGAGTTGATGCAAGGCTACAGCCTACGTCCGACCCTGGGCTAGCGGCGCAGATCTATTGCTTACCATGTACTTTTTTTTTTTTTTTTGTCTCGTATTGAGGCTCTACATCTCCGCGCACTGCCACGGAAGTGTCGCTATCTAGCACCACTATGTAGATCATCAGGCTGATATGCAATGGACCCTCGTTCGTGACTCATGGCGGATTGCTCGGGCAAAGTACGAAGTGTAATGGCAAACTTATAAATGTAGAATAGATGCCTTTGGTCTCACAATGACATTCCAGTATATCTCTTGTCTAACACAACTGCTGAAAATGGGAGATATCTCTACTGGTAGGCCATCTGATTCCAAAGCAATGTCTGCACATTAACTAATGTGTCCTTCAGAGGAAAAACAACAATCTGCCCAGTTCGCCTCGACGGGCTCCATCTGCCAAGTCCACAACCTATACCAAACCAAACCCGATGCGAGAGGTCGATCCTCATGGACAAAAGAATACCCCGACGACCTCGTGCAGCCTGCCGAGAATGAAGAATCAGGCCAGTACGCGCTGGTTGCACGGAATGTCAAGTGTTATGATGGACGTAAATCTCTCCAGGTCCAGTCGATCGTGGTGCAGAGTCAACCGCTCAAGACGTTCCTGGACAATGTGATGACAGGATATCCCGGCATTACAATGAAGCTTGACCGTGTCGAGTTCAACCGGCCGTTCAAACCATTTGTCCACCGGTGGGAACGTTTTGTGGAAGCGAGGGACAACGAGCAGGACGTGACAACCAAGACTCATGTTGACTTGCTTTACAGGGTACTAGATGAGGAGCTTCGCGATGTTATATCTTCTAGGAATAACCTTGTTGCGAACGGTGTGATATCTCATGATCTCCTCTGGACTATCTTCGAGCCAGGTGACTTTATTTTCAGCCTTGTGGACGGTCGCCAGCGCGCCTTTTCGTTTGAATCGGGCGATATAAACCCCAAGAGCGGGAAATTTGACATGGAGGGAAAATACATTGACTTCGATGGAGATGGGTTCGGCTACGTGACACACGAAATGTCGGTGCCTGCTTATGAGGGAACATCAGCTATCTCAGCGCTGCCAGCCTTCCCTCTAGTATATCACAGCGACCATGCCACCATCCGGAGACACCTGACGGCCCGTGGAAAGCTCTGGGAGGATCACCGGGGATACCATTACAAGCAGTATGAGGGCATCGCCAAGACTTACTTCTTCAATCGAGAGATGAAAGTCAGCATCAGAAGCCGCATTGTCATTGACACGAAAGCATACACTACTTTCAATCCAGACGATGAAATATACCTTGATTCTGGCATAGCAGACAAGCTTTCCGATGATCAGCGACTGCTTTCAACTCCCATAATTCGCGGCTATGCCCTGAAGGATAAAAGGTGGCTGGAATTCTACATTGACGACGTGCAAGATATCAAATGGGATGCCCGGGCATTTGATTCCTTGGTACTGCCTCATGCGCAGCAAGATCTCAAGCAGCTGATCCTTGCATTTGCTGATGCCCACTCTGAGAACCTCGATGGCTTTGATGATATTATTCAAGGGAAAGGCCGCGGTGTCATCATGCTCCTCAGTGGCCCCCCAGGTGTGGGAAAGACTCTTACTGCAGAGAGCGTTGCAGAGGTCATGAAAGTACCTCTTTACGTACTCAGCGCAGGTGATCTTGGAACGAGCCCCTCAAAGGTCGAAGATAGCTTGAAAGACATCCTTTCCATTGTTCCAAGGTGGAATGCTGTTCTTTTGCTTGACGAGGCTGACGTCTTCATGGAAGCGCGTAATGCGACCGATCTGGGACGGAACGAGCTTGTGTCCATCTTCCTGAGAATGCTCGAATATTACGAGGTAAGCAACTATAAACCCCCCCCCACACCCAGCAACACCAATAACACATTATTTAGGGATTCCTGTTCCTTACGAGCAACCGCGCGGAGAATATCGACCCTGCCTTCGAATCCCGCATCCATGTGTCTCTGCGTTATCCGGAACTCAATACGGCATCGAGACGGCAAATCTGGACGCAATTCCTTGGCGATGCGTATATCGGAGGCTTCTCGAGTCAAGAGCTTGACCAGATGGCGGAGGTGGCGCTGAATGGTAGACAGATCAAGAACGTGCTCAGGACCGCTCATCTTTTGGCGAGGAAGCAGGAGGCGAAACTTGCTTATTCACATATCCAGACGATTCTGACCTTGAGGGGATCTGGTTCGGTGTCAGCAGGAGAGACTTAGGTTTTATGATAGTCGCCATTTTACCGTGTGCAGATAATGACAAGATGCGTTGGGAAAATATGTAGTTAAGTTCCTAGGCCTTCACTCGGTTCGGGCCGGGATGACCCAAGGATTGCCTACGCAGTGAGTCCTAGACAGGATGACCACACGCCAACGCTTTGTACAGAGACGACTTGATATCACTTCATATCCTCTACTCAAGTGAATGTATACATGTACCCCCAAAAATAAACTAGCAAACAACCCCATAACCAACCAACCAATCACAAACAACCAAATCAAATCCTGACTCACCCATAAGCGGGGTCACGATAGCAATTTCCCTTCTTCAAATCCAACATCTTCTCTCCAAAACACCCCTATCAACGAACCTATTTACATACCAGAACTACCATTCCACCAAGGTACCCAACGTATGTGGGTTGATCTACTATCTACCCGAGAATACCAACTAACTGACTTCTATAGATCATCATGCCCGCCCACAAAAGCTGCCCCTCCTGCGGTGCCGGTATCCCCGGTGAGACTAAGACTTGCAACGCGTGTGGAAAGGTTTGTTTTATGGGAACCTGATTATATTGTCGACCAAGTGTGCTGATGGAATAGACCTGCCCTGTTTAAGCGAGAAATCGAGGTTATTGCGGAGGATGTGGACGATGATACGAGAGATGAGATATGATGGATGAGATGAGATGAGACGAGAATGAGATAATGACAGAATGTGATTCTTGATTTCAGCCTTATGATCGAGTAACACAACCATAAGTAACACAGCAACTGCTATATCCCGTACCAAATCCCCGGCATGATCAACGATGACTCGACCCTCTCACAACTGTCCTACAATCCCTTCCCGATTATAATCGCCGTGCCGTGTATTCCGTCCGAGTTTACCGTTAAACGGTTTTCATAATTATAGTAGTAGTAATGGTCCGTCCAACCAGGACTGCTCCATTAGCTATCAATAGCCTGCGGTTATATATATAGGGCCACCATATGTATAGATCTTCCGAAACGTGAGCATAACATAACCTGATCTCACATAAGCCACGGGATAGCCTTAGCGAAAACAAGTAGATGAGCATACAAGGCATTTATCCTTCCATACCCGATTTCCCGTTTCCAGCATCGAATAGTCGCATGCTGACGACACGGAATAAGCCCGGAAGCCAGAAATGACCAACTATTCAGGCACATACTCAGCCTTACGTACATAGACAATCTCACTTGACATTTCAATAGCCACCTCTTCACCAACACGAAGGCACCAGCTCAAGGAGTCCAATAGCAATACCAGCGATGTGGATGCTTACACCCAGAAGTACTTGTACCAGTTAGGGCAAGCAACCAACGGTCAGCAAACATCATATTCTGCACAACCACCGCATACATGCATATCCTCAAACCCAATCATCAACGGGACCAGAGGGAAAGAAGAGCATTGGATGATATGCTATATAGCCGCCTTGTCTGTAGAATTTCCGTTTCAACTGGAGCAATTGAAATGGAAGCATGGATTGGATTGAGATATTTAACGGTTAGATGTTTCCGCTGATTTGGAGAGTTCTTATGTCCAAGAGGATTAAGAAGTCTGGTGCAAAATGACTCAAGTTGTGCGTTTCCGAAATCTAACCAAGTCTTCTAAAATATCTAACAGACTCATCTAGAGACTCGCAATCGGCTACAACACTCCCGCAGCCTACGAAAAATACGGCAAAGATATTTGGGACCTGTGCTACCACCCTTATCCCCATATTACACAGAAACATCCAAAGTCTAACAATATCGAACGCCAGAGTAGAAACCAAATTCAGTGAACTGGGAATCGAGGAATTCGGACCCTTTCGTTCAGCGCAGAGCTACCCTCCTGTTCAGTTTGTTGGGTATGTCTAGTCACCCAAGTTCATGGATCTTTTGTGTTATTGCATGCTGATGTGGCTAGTCTCGAGGTACCGTATAATGTCTCGTTATATGACTTGGGGAGTGTTAAGCTGGGGGATGGTATTTGGACTGATTTTTCGGTTGTGGATGAGTATTCAGAGAATTGAATGGGGGGTTTTCTGAGGAATGTTCTTGTTGTTGTCGAGTCCAACGAATCAATGGAAAAATTAGTTGCAGATAGGGATTATCGGATTGAGTTTATTTGATCGACGATAACTCAACCTCAACCCTCTCACAAACAATAGACCCCGTGTCATCTCGCTCCGTATCCCTCATGTCCCCTGACTCATCTGACACCCTCGAAAACTGGTTATTCACAATAACCGACTGTCGCTGACCATCCAGTAGTATGCTGTTGTTCGGCAGCGGCTCGTTTTCAGATAACATATGGATTTCCACAGGGTGGTCGCGGACAGGCTGTACTTTGAATATCTTATATAAAATGTTGAGAACAGGGACGGAGAGACCGTGGACGATAATTGAAAATAGAACAAGCCAGTATACCACTACATCAGGTGTCAGTCTCTCGTCGTGATCTGTGTGATGCACATACCAGGTCTCATAACAGCTGTTAACTGGTTAATCTCACTATCACTCTCCCCAGGTCCCGGGAATAGTCGACGGGCATATTCGACATACGAAATCGCCCCGATTCCTACATTGTCAGCACATCAACAAATTGGGTGAAAGAAGGAAAGCAAACCAATAGGCCCAAACCACCCCAAAAACAACCCCTCCCTCCAATCCCTACAAACCCCCCTCCCCAAAAACTTATACCCCAGCATCATCGCCGGGACCCTCCGAAACAACATCACCAGCACCCCCAACCCTACCAGTCTGCTCACTGTCAGCCCTGAGGACTGGGGCATGTGGAATTGGTCCCACGGCATGGCAGCGCCTAGGAAGAGGAATGTTGCGAAGTTGAGGAGTGTTTCGAGGGTTGCGTTGAAGGAGTCGTGGCGGGATTGGGTTTCGACGTGGTAGGCGCCGTTCCAGTTCAGTGCGCAGCCGGCGATAAAGCAAGCGAGGGTTTCGTCGGAGCCGATGCAGCCGCAGAGGCCGGTTAGCAGGAGCTATACATCACTTAGCACCCATATCCATATCCAAGAAATGAGGGGGACATACCCCCATCGCAACAGGAACCAACAAAAACCCCTCCTGGTCAACCCACCTCCTACAATCCCGTGAGCAACAAACAACAAAACACAACAGCAATAGAAATGCCTACCTCCTCACCCCAAACCCAACTCCCCACCTACCCAAAATTCCAACGAACCCACCAATTAAACCCCCCAGCAAAATCATATACCCAACCCCCTCCAAAACCCAATGCCCAAGCGCCACAATCCCCCCACCCCCAAACCGCCCCTTCCCCACACTATCCAAATACCCCGGCACCCCGCGCTCCAGATCAAACTGCTCCAGACTAAATGTGTTCTCCGGTGTTTCTGCGTACCGCAGTAGCGATACGGCGAGGAGTAGGAACGGGAAGCCGAAACCGTCGTTTAGGCCGGCTTCGGCGGAGATGAATTCACGTAAGCCGCGGCGGACGTAGGTATCGGAGAAGGGGCCTTTGGCGATGGATTGGCTGAGGAGGGGATCTGTGCAGGTTATGCAGGAGGATATTATTAGGGATGCGAGCTTTTTCGGTTCCAGGTTTTTATGTTAGTTTGGTAGGTTTATTCGTGGAGCTGGGGACGTACGAATGAGATATCCGGAACCATGAGCATAACACATCCCGCACTCACGAGCCACGATATCATCATGAGCGGAAGTAGACAAATAAGTAACTCCAGTAGGCACTCTTTGATATATCGCTTCGGTAGCTCGTAGCCTACCTTGACTAGTTGAATGCCGATGACGAGGCGGGATAAGCCCTACCAGCCAGACATCAGCACCTGAGCCACGAGAGGGAGAAAGAAAGAAATACATAGGCAATCTCACTCGTCCCAGCAGTCTTATCATATTCCCATTCATTCACACGGAGGAATCGAGCACCGATAGGTCCGAAGGCGATTCCGGTGATGAAGGAGGGTACTGCGGGTGTTAGGGCTGAAGTTGGGATCGTGGTAAATACGGCTTACCGGTTTCGCCTAGGTACCATCGTTGTTTGGTTTTGAGGGATATGAATCCAAAGAGGAGGATGTAGATTCCTGGTTGTGTTTGGTGTTAGTTTAGCTTGTGGGTATGAGAATATGGAAAGGAGGAAGGTACCCGAGAAGGTGAGGACGATGTTTAGGTTAGTCACATCGAGGACTGGATGGAGCATCCTTCTCTTTCTCTTTATTTGCCTTCTCTGGAAACAGTAATAGATCGCTATTGAACGTCTCTGTTGGATATAACGTCTAGCTTTCTTCGACTAAACAAACAAAACAACGAGGGAGAAACATGCTGGTCATCCACCAAAACAAATCTATCAACGAGATAAAAAGACAGCAACGTCCGATCACTTATCTCCCCCTGTTTTCTATAATTACTACATGTTGTACCAGGTGCTTGCTTTTGATACCTCCTTGCAGGAAACATATCGACCCTTGTCAATTGGCCTAGATCGTTGCCAGCTGGGCTAGGTTATCTTGGAAGTGCGATAAGGGTGCATATCTGATGCATACATTCCTTTTGCAGGCGGGTAGATTGAGCTTATTTCACTTGGGACTCTACGTTCAATAAGTGTAGGATCTCGGTGCAGGTGTACATATGAAGTTGAGCTACGAAAGCGTGGGAACACAAGGGGAATATATTGCTAGACAATAAAGATACAGGTACTCGTAAAGATAGCAAAACAGAGTAGTAAACTGGAGCGCGACCAAACCCACGGTATATAACAATAGCAAACAACCCACTAGCACTGCGAAGAAAACTACGGTCTCGCTCATGCAGTCTTGCGCCATTGGGATTGCAAACCAATCAAACTGGAGATGGTACCACCGATGCCAACGATACCGTCGTCGAGATCAGCGTACTTGAGGGCGGAGACGGGCGCGGCCAAGTCGCAAACATCCGAGACGAGCTGAGTGCGAGCAGTCGAGCGTTCCCTGCAATCATTAGCATAACATTCAACCAAAACAACGAAAGGGACGCACTTCTCAATCTTCTTCGCCTCAACAACACCCTCACCCTCCTTCCGATCAACCGTCTTCTCCTTCTCCTGCAACCTCCACAACGAATACAAACTGGAAACCGAACTGAAAATCAACCCCACCATCCAGCACCGATAAGCATTCTCCTGCAACTTCTTCGCATAACTCAACTTCTTAATCCCCATCGTGTCCACGACCCCAATCGTGTCCAGCGTCAGGTATCCCGCATAGCCCAGCTGGCGACCGGTGGCCAGGTAGCGCAGGACCGGGTCGATGGGGGCCTTGTTGTCGACGGCGATGGCGGCGGCTTTCAGGTGCTCGAGGAACTTGCCGATACGGATGATTTTGCGGGTGGTGCCGAATTGCTTCTTGATGGCGTTGAAGGGCTCGATGGCGGATTGAGGGCGGTTGGTGCGCAGGAGGTACCAGGCGTAGAAGCGGGAGAAGTATTGCAGGGTTCGCATGATCTTGTCACGGCCGACTATGGTCATCTTTGTTAGTATGGTTTGCTTGCTATGGCAAGGGACTCGCTTCCGGTTGTCCAGACGTACCGGTGGTCGCGACAAAGCGCAAGTAATGCGCCAGCGCGGGGTGGTAGACAACAGCGTCTGCGACCATGTTGGTGGATTATTATTGTGAATATTATCCTCTCTTGTATAGTAGAAGAAGTGTTGTATCCTCCTGGAGGACGATTTGGGCCGCGGATGTCGGATTCCGGGAAGATCACGAGAGGGGTTACTCGACCGAGAGCGACGCAACGAAGAGCGAAGGAGCGAACAGACCAGCTGGAGTAAAGTCAAAAGCAGTTAAAATATTTCAAAAGGTAAAGGAAAGGACAGAGGGAAGAATAAGTAGGAGAACAAGCACGGGGGACACGGAGAAGGGAATGTTCGTCGGTAATTGACAAGCGCCGGGGACTGAAGACGAAACCTCGGTTCAATGAGGAGAAGCGTAACCTCCGAGATTTCCCTAACGGGGTTTTCTACTACATATGTTGAATGGCAAATCATGTGATGATCTTTCGTTCTCTCTCTTTTCTTTACTTGTTTGTTATTGTCTACGCTGTTTATCTCGCGGTTTGCTTTCTGTTTAGATGCTATGGGGCACTAACTACAGCTCATCGGTTGCCGTCATACTTCAGACAATTCATCTTGCATTCCAACGCTAGACAGGTACAATACCCACCATTGTCCTGTCATGGACGACCATTAAACAATCGCCCTGCGTGTATTCGAGTCATGAATTTGCTCATTTTTGCAGAGACCCAGATCATTACAGTGATAGATCAGGTTTCAGTCATCCCGACATGCCGCCCTACTGTAACGGGGAGGTAGTAGCACCAATAATACGACATGATATGACGACTCGTGGTCCAGGATGTCGCGAGCAAGCTTCATACGCTTGCTGCAATCTGCGCTCAGCTTTGTATACGACTTTCATTTCGATTACATTCACACATTAAATACATTGGGGCAAAGTATTAACAATGGCATAGCAAGGGCACACACGCCGGTCAGACCATGGAAACGAGATCAGCACAGCATGTGTCAGTGTGTTTCCCCTTTTCTTTTCTTTTGTTCTTTCGCGCATCCGGGCATTCGAATTTGGTTGGTTGCGTGGGGGAGTTTCATAACTTTCATCAATCGCATGGGGGGACTTGTTTTCTTCATTTTGAACCGTCTTCCGCAATTTGTCGCTTATTGGTGATGAATGTCGCAAGGGCCGTATCAATGAATCCATGAACCGGGGAAGCGCTGAGGGCTGAAACTGGGCCGGCAGACGGGCATATCCAAAATACGAAAAGGGCGCTGTTCACTGCTCGGGGTTAGCTGTCGTTGTCGTTGCTTGTTCCACGTTACCCATGGTGGCAGTGTCATAGCCGTTAGCTTCGAGGAATGAGCGGAATTTCTGATCCTCTTCGGTGATCGTGTCCTGTCATTGTCAGCCAGACCTCACCAGAGAAGAGACACGAGGAAATACCTGTCCGATCTTCGGAAAGAGGAAAAAGGCGACCACGGCGCTGAAGATGCACAACGCACTCGACACGAAGAAAGGATCTTGACCAGATCGAACCTCATTCGGTGCGTTCTTCTGGATGATCGGAATGACATACGTGCCAACAAAAGCACCGATCTTGCCTGCAGCTGCGGCGATACCGTAGTACTGGCCACGAATAGCAGTTGCGCTGCTCTTTGCCGCGCAAAGTCCGATATTGTCACCGGGACCTAGTTCTCCAAGCGAAACGAAAATACTGTCCAGGTTAGTCAATCAATCTTCAAGTCCAGGTGCGACAGCTCTTACCCATAAACGACCACAAACCCGGCAACATTCTTGGGTGTCGCGAGGTATTCATAACATCCAGACATGACGAAGCCAATGATGCCTTGCAGACCAACTCCAAGAACCAAGGTACTGCGCGGGCCAAGCCAGTCGCTAACGAAAGCTCCACCAAACGAACCAGGAAGGTAGAAAAGGTAGATTACGGTACTCAGACCAAACGACTTCCACAGCGGCGCGTCGTCTCCCAGGATGATGGCCACCCATTTGGAAGAGTAGATGCTGAAAGAGTAGGTAGAGAAGTCGTATACGAACCAAACGAGTGAGATGATAGTCTAACCAGTTAGCTTGCAACATACACCTGCGCGGAAGATCCATACCAAACGCCACCAATAGAACCTAAAACGGTCAGCATACTTAAAAAAAAACCAATACCAGAGGGGCACTCACTTGATAATCAACCAGATCGGAAAGTTGCGCATACGCTCGCGATTAAACTCCTCGGGCTCATTCAACTTCAACCGTAGATAAAATAAACTCAACGGCGGAATTACCCCCAACCCCAACGCAACTCTCCACGCCGCACGTAGATGATCCTCCGTGAAAATCAACACTAGAATCATCGGCACAAACGCCGCAAGCACAAACCCCATATCGATCTGAAAGTTCGTGAAGATGATAAACCACCGATTGCGATGCCCTTTTTTCAGCTCCCCCGTGCTCTCCGCCGCAGCCACAGATCCAGCGGGATACTCGCCACCAATACCAACGCCCAGGAAGAATCGGTAGGCTGTGAGTGCTGCGAAGAGACCGTATTGGCTGCCGTGATAGCCGTAGGCGCCTGCGGAGAGGGCACCGAAAACGATTAGGATGACGGTGGAGATCATTAGGGCCCATTTGCGCGACCAGTGGTCGGCCATGTAGCCAAAAGCGAGCTGGCCCAGGACCGTACCGGCGAAGGCAATGGAGGAGACGTTTTGGCTGGCGGGGGACTTGGTGTAGGTGTCTGGGTAGATTTTGCCGAGCATGGTGTTTACTTGGCCGATTACCTGCGCACATTAGATCAGTGAACTTATAAAAACCAGCTGTAACAGTAGGACATACACCATTGAGATAGCCATCTGAGAAAAGACCAGCACCGCAGGCAATGGTGGGCCAACTGCGCTCCCAGCGACTCTTCTGGGTGTTTTCCAGCGGAGGCGCATCGTCGATAGCTCCTCCCTCCAGCCCAGGAGTCTTGAGCGTGGATTCTTCTGGCTTGACTTCTGTCTTTTCCATATTGCGATTGTCCATAGCTCACCAGTATGCCGGGGTAAGCAAAAGCGGAAAGAGACAGCGCGGGGGAGGGGAACAAAGAAGCAAAGATATGAAAAAAAAAAAGAACTCGGAGATTTAAGAGATCACATTCTCGGGGAAAGGAAAAAGAAAAAAGCTAAGCGCGAGACCAATCGAAACTAAGGAATCCTTCGCTATCAACTCGTTCTTTAGAGTCGGATATTTCCGACTAAGATTAGTACTAGTGAATGTCACGCTAAGCTTTCGCGCCGAGATCGCAATGGAACGCTAGTGTAGGGCATCCAGGTATCATTGCTATGCAGTTAGACATGAACCAGCGACTACGCTCTATCTTGATTCCTCACTTGGGATACCATCAAGGTTTATCCAAGAAAAACTATCGTAAACCTAACCCTTCTCCATGTCAAACTTCATCCGCAAGTAGATCTTGAAGGGGCTTCACAGTCCTCTTCACAAACCTCTTCACCATCCTCTGCCTTCACAGTATCCTGTCTTCTCATATCATGCTAATGTCCTCCAAATCCCCTCTCCCCGCCTCACTTCAACCCACCTAACCTCATCCCCGACAAGAAACAGCAACAGGCCAGAGTCGTTGAAACCATCAATGATCTTGACATTCCGCACTACGACTTCGCAGACATCAATAGCGATACCATGCGGTCCAGAATCTTAAAGGACCTAGGCATCCACTACCTCGAGAAAGTGTCTCAGAAGGAAGCACGCAAAGTGCCCAAATGCATCGACGGTTATATCTGGGGACACAACCGCCGTTGGATCTTCCCATGTGTCGTCTCCAATAATGTTGAGGCTCGTCGCGTCATTTTTATACTGGTCACCAGTTCTCCAACAACATATCTTGCACCTGAGGTTAGTGTTTCTTTCCTACCTATAAAGTACTATACTAAACTGCTAACTTGGCTCTAGGTGTTTGATGCTCTCAAGTTGGACAATGACGCTGCTGCTACTGTTACTATTGCTGGTCATCTGCACTCGGTCCAGCCATCGCCCAAGCACTCACCCTTTGCTGATGTTAATATCCTTGGGGCTGACTTCTGTGTCGACCATCGGCTCAGTTTTGTTCCTCTCGGTGGAAAGGAGGTTAAATACGTCTTTGGACTCCAGGATCATATCAATGGGACCACGGGGTCTAAGCCGTCGTCGTGGCGTCGATGGCTACAGTGGGACACGAATTAGACTACAGATTGTACTCATCAACAGACCAGTTAGCTCGACGATGCCCATCTCTATCAAAGACGGTGGATATGGAAAGCGTTGCTCGTTGCTAAAACCGCTCTTCAAACCCATTCAGACCCGACAAGGTAACGGTAGTCAGTATATAATGTAGGCATCATCAATCATATCATTGCTATGCAGCTTCATAGGCTCATCCAACATGAATAATAACTATGCACATGAATAAATCAAGACAGGCACCGCCCGTCATCTATCTTTTTCCCTCCTCATCTACTTGTACTTGGCCATGAACTGGTTGTGGAACTCCACAATCCGCTCAACCCAGTCAGTACCAGGTGCAAGGAATGTGGTCCGGAAGTGCAGCGTGTTCTCCTTCTGGCCGAATCCAGAACCAGGGACAACGCAGACTCCGGTGGCTTCGAGCAGGCGCATGCAGTAGAACTCATCGGCAGCGCGGCCCTCTTCAACGGCAGCCTCGATGGCCTTGGCAGGAAGCGTGATCGTGGGGAAGAGGTACATGGCGCCCTATTAATTTGTTAATATTGCACCGAAAAGAATGAACAGAAAAGCGAAGCTTACCTGAGGCTCCTGGCATTCAACGCCCTCCATCTGTCGGAAAGCGTCGTACAGAGCAAGAGCACGCTTGTGCAGGCCATCCCGGATGCCATTGTACTCCTTATGGTACAGTTCGTAGCTGGGCTCACCCTTCTTAGGTGGGTTCACCATCAGCTCGAGCAGACACTGTCCGACAACCGGTGGGCACAGCATGATACTGACGAACTTGTAGATCTGTGCAGCGACCAAGGGGTCGAATCCGACCAACTCAAAGTAACCACCCCGCTGACCACACTCGCCAACCATACCCTTGGAGACACTGTGAAGGGAAGCCAGTTCCACGTCATCGTATTTCTTAGGCTCCTCCTGCTGGAGCTGACGGAGGCGCTTCTTGAACGAGGTGAATTCTCCAGCGAAAACGTTAGTCTGGTAGACTTCGTCCGCAATCACCACCAGATTCTCCTCTGCGGCAAACTCGAGAACGTTCTTGACATCCTCCGCGCTCAATGAAGCACCGGTGGGGTTTCCTGGGTTGATGATGACAATGGCACGAACATTGATTCCAGCGGACTTGGCCTGAATCACAGACTCGCGAATAGCCTTGACATTGGTACCCCAAGCCTGCTCCTCTTCCAAGAGGTAAGGGACGCAGTGCGCATTCAACAGAGACAGTGTGGCAGTATAAAGAGGGTATTGCGGGATAGGAACGAGTACACCAGCATCAGGGCCATTGCAGATCACGTTGAGAAGCGTGTTGACACCAGACGAGGCACCAGCGCTGCAGTAGATATCCTGAGGGTTTGCGGGGAATCCATCACGCTCTTCGATGAACTTAGCCACGCTTTCCCGGATAAATGGAGCACCCTGACTGTGACTGTATGCGCCCACGCTCTGCACATCCTTCAAAAGAGTATGAGCGCGATCGATGACATCCTGCTCGTAGCCAAACGACTTCTTAAGCGCCTCTGGGTTCTCCAGCAACGACGGGTTCTCGACCAAACTGAGCACTTGACGAAAGAAGGTGATGGGTTTCTGATCCAGCTGCTGCGGGTTGCCAATGTTCGCGAAGATAACGCTGTCGAACGGCAGCGACTTATCTCCCTGTGCGAGTTTCACGCGCAGCTCCTCGGCCTTGACAGCCAGCTCACCACGGACGGCATACTTGGCTGCTCTCACATGAGGGTTGATGTTGTCTAGTTCGAGGTTGCGAGTACGAGGAACGGTCGTCGAGAGGGTTTGACGGGCGGTATATTGCACGGTTGTTTGAGCCATGATGTTCGACGCTAGGCAAGTCGAAAGGAGTCAGTAATAGCTTCTTCGGTTAAATGGTAGGTCGCTCTGGAAATCAAAGATTCATTTGCATAGATATAACGGTACACAACAGAAGTTTCACAAAAAGAGTCATAAACCACGCAGAGATAAGGCAATACAACCCGTACTATAGCTATAGCACCCCTGACCAAATAAAGCCCCCTCTTCTTCCCCAGTGTCACAGGATCGGGAACAACCGTAAGGGCATTCTCGGGGAAAGACGATTGGCACCCGGCGCCTTGTCAATGACGGCCCAGACACCCAATCATACAAAATTCCGACAGGACACTCATCGGAGAAGAGGGATGGGAAATCAAAACATACCGGACGAGGCTATCGGCCGGGTGAGGCCTTGAAGAACTGGCCGTCGCAGCAGCGGACTTGCCCGCATGCTGGACACGAGTCTCATTTGCCAGACCATGAGGGAAATAGTGAATCAATTAGAATACGGAAGATCAGTTGACTATGACGGTCCTTCCTCGTCCGGTCAGCCGCGCGTCGATGGTTCTGGACTGCTCATGCGAGTGACTGCGCTTTGTTTGTCCGTCGAACTTTTGTCGGCACGCATCGTCGATCACATGATGGTTTATCACGATCATGTGACTTTCCCGTTCGCCTATTCAGTGATGAAAGGTCGTGACGTTCGAATTTTCACCACCATAATGTGGCTTTTTTCCGAGAAGATGGGAATCTTACCATTCTAACAGCTACGCAATGCCACCGCGCAGTCTTCCCCCAGAGATTATCTCCCAAATCATTGGGTTTCTCTCTTCACCTCTTGCCCCGTATGCAAGTGTATCCGGGCTGTGGCAGTGGGTTATTGAGAAAAGCACTTTCTCAGACTTGCGCCTGAGATCGGATAACTTGCCAGAACTCAAGCATATACTGTCCTCGCCTCGTCGACGCAGCTGTCTCCGACGACTGCATTTCCAAGCTGTTTTACCTGGATACGACATCCCTGCACGTAAGCTCATGGAAAATAACGAAGATCGCAAACGCAATAACCACGCATTCACTAACATCATCTGCGCTCTGTTTGAATTTCTGGCTTCGTGGGAAGTTCAAGCTTCGATTTCGCTTTGCTTGGAGTCCTGGTCAACTGGTGACAAGAGACGTAGTGGAGATCATCAGAAACGAAGACGGACAGCCCGTGTAACTCGTGAGGACTTGCTCGAATGACGGTATGAGTGGTCCTACTTGGAACTTGTTGAGCTGGATGGCAAGGAAATACCCAGCGTAAAGACGATTTCCGACTTGAAGATCCAAGGAGGAAACGGTATGGAGCGTAAGATTGCACCGGCTGCTGTGTCGGCGATTGTGGCTCGATTACCCCATGTACAAAGAATCGAGGCTAGTTTATTTGATAATCAAAAAGACGATCCGTCTTTCCGACAAAGTATGCGAGATAGTAAGGAAGCTTGCTATCTTTGAGCTATCTACCCTGCTAACTGGTACGTAGGATTTGTTTGTACCCTCCCCTAGTGGCCCGCTAGCATAAAGCACTTGGAGCTATGTTATCGAGGCGACGCGCCTTTGAATGAAAACTCTCCGCCGGTAGCCCGTTCTCAAGAAGGTGAGGACAGCCTAAGCATAGCTCTGAATCGCTTCACCCAACGCCTAACAACAATCAAAATCAATAACATCATCATTGGCCCCGAGTTCTTTTGGCCCCCGGACAAATTCAACCCTCGATCAACTGTATGGAACAGTCTTACCTCTCTTGAGCTGCAATATGCGGTTGCCACTCCAGCCGGCGAATGGCTATTTGAGCGCGTTCCGAAACCACATGATTGGCCCGCGTCGTGTTTGTGTGATTGCCAAGCTACGTCTGGCCCAGACCAAGTGCCTGGCCGTTGTCAGCCTAAACTACAAAGTTGCCATCATTCATCTACGTGTAGAGATTTACTATGTGTGTTAGCACTATCCACCGGATGATTACAAGGAGTCTCATCACATCGCGGAGCGTTCTTCTATCTTTCACTTTTAACTCCACCTCTTCTTTTTCCACACTACCTCAAATGGATCAATTTCTGTATTCCTGTACAATTGATGCTGAGCCTCTTCATCGCTATGCGAAAGGAGGCTACCATCCAGTTACATTGGGAGGCTTTCTCGCCGACAGGAGATACAAGATACTGCATAAGCTAGGATGGGGAGGTTACTCAACTGTCTGGGCTGCAAGAGATGAAAGGTCGTACAAATTGTTTCCTTAGCCAAACGCCACTAACTTAATCTCAGAGAAGGCACTTACGTTGCAGTCAAGATCCACATTGCCGAGGAAGACAACAATAGGGAGCATCATGAGCTGAATGTTATGAAGAAACTAGCATCAATACATCCCCATTCTCCACACGTCATGCACGTGGTTGATGACTTTGATTTAGAGGGACCTAACGGAACACATCGCTGCTTGGTATTTGAGCTCTTAGTGCCTAGTGTTCCTGACATGATAGATGCACGCTTTTCTGATGGGAGACTTCCTGGAAAACTCGCTAAGACCATTGCAAAACAGGTTGTTTCTGGACTTGAATTTCTGCACCAAGAGAAAATTGGACATGGAGGTGAGTCATACCTACATGTTTCTTCTAAGAGCATTTTGAAATAGTTCTCACTTCGCATAGACCTTCATACTCGCAATCTGGCTTTCACCATACTGTCCATGGACAATGTACCTGATAAGGAATTCATCAAGACATTAGGAAAGCCAGAAATTGGACATGTCCACAGGAGTGACGGTAAAGCTCTAGAACCTGGTATACCAGAATACATTGTCAGACCTGCTGGGACGCATTTGTGGCCGTTGTCAAATATCATCAAGATTGTCGACTTTGGGGAATCATTCTTGCAGCAAACCGTCCCGCAAACGCTTCACACACCGCTAACAGTTCGGGCACCTGAAGTTATATTTGGAGACCATCTGGATTATCGTGTGGATTTGTGGAGCCTGGGATGTCTGGTAGGAAAAGCCGCCAACTACAAGTTCAGTTGATCGAAGTTAATAGGCGTGATAGCTTTTTGAACTCTTTGTTGGCCAACCGCCCTTTGATAGCTTCTTAATAACGCCCACCATCCTCGTGGACCAAATGCAAGAGATGACAAGTGAAGCACTACCTGAAAGATGGCTAGGCTTATGGGAAGCAATGGGCGGCAGAGTTGGTGCAGAAAGCTCAGGACCTGGATTGCAAGAATGGCTGGGGGATATGTATTTTGATGGTGAGCGAAGAGAAGACTTGACAGGTGAGGATATTGCCAAGCTGGGCCAAATAATTCAAAAATTGCTACGGTTCGAGCCGTCTGCCAGGGCTTCAGCGAGTGAAATTCTAAATGATCCTTGGTTTAGAGACTGAACCATAAGACATGTACATATTATTTATTTGCATGGAGGTGGTATACCAGCTAGAGGGCACAAGTCCATCAAAAGTCATGAAGTAGCAAGAGTGCTGAGGGGCATAGATATGATTCACCCCATTGATCCCCCTTGTGGCGAAAGATTCATACAAAAACACCAGGTAATATCACAGAAAGAATCTTTACTCATAAGTTTTGTAGCTGTGCAGCAATTATTGGATCAACAGTTCAATGCTGATACTCGACAACAGATGGGCCTGGACATGATGGATTTGGGCAAGCAGAAAAGGACTGGGCAAGTCTTCCACAATCTTGATGAGATATCACGCCCAACAGTTCACAAGATTCTGGAACTGACTGCATGATATAAGGGTTACAGGTTGTAGACCAAAAGATGAACTCCTGCCAGATGACCTCACAAGGAGAAGTGCATGGAGAACTGACCAAATCAAGTACAATGAAGACTTTGGTGCATGCGCAGCTGAGAATTGTTGATTCTCACAAAGATAAGTAATTCAAAAACGCTGAGTCAAGACTTAGGTTCAATAATTAGCTATCATGATAGACACCAGGCCCTGTCAGTGTAAATGTAGACCAGATATCAAGAGGAACTATGGGCAGGCAGCAGAAAACCATTATATTCACCTAGTTCAGAAAGCTTTAATGAAAACAAAGGCTTGGCTGCCATAAAAAAGACCCCGGATCAGACTCCATATAAAAACAAATATGAAACTCCCAGACTGGGTTCTTGTAGTGTTGTCCTTTCCATGGTAGTGTCACGGAGCACAGCAGAACGGAAATTCAATGACAGAGCTCCAACCAATCATTAATTGGCAGTGAGGTTTGGTTCTAGACTTTATAGAACTGCAATCTGCAGGAATGTGACTGCTGTGACTGCTGACTGTGGCGAAAATAACCAATGGAATTGCTGGTGAGGCATTTATGCTATTGGATTTGTTTCTCCCAGATGCAAATTCATTGTCATCTGGGTGTTCCAACCGCATAAACGGCACATGGGATCGGCATTATTAGGGCAGAATGTGACGCAGAGGGGCGCTTGCAGAACAGGGCAAAAAGTGGGGTTTGGTAAGCCATAATCAGCCTTCGGAGTCTGTCAAGCTTGGAATCAATACCCTTCGTTGATAAGGGAGTCGAAAGGGCGGATACCATTGAAAAGCGTCCGGAAAAGCAAGACCTCAAGTAAATGGGTTATGAATAAAAGCCTCGGGAGCAGAAAATATGAATCGATCCATTGCATTAAAATTAAGAGGCAGACAGAAATAGCTCAAAACGCCGGTCAACGTAAACGAGGAAAAGGAAACCGGAAGTGGAGGCGAAAGGGCGCAGCCGCAATTTCCGAAAAAAAAAAAAAAAAAACGAGGGCCAGGAGGAGGGGAGAGAAGAAATCGATGGTGTCTGAAGTAGTGCCCCTGGTGATTGTTTGTTTGGTTCGTCAGGGCTGGTATTCACTGGAAGGGACGGGATTATGGATCCGATGGATAAAAGCATCGATGGATGGTTCAATAAATGGTATTTACTGAACAGCCGTTGCTGGGTGGCTATTTTATATGGAGTCCGTAAGAGAGTAGGAGAGGAAGGTAGAAGAGCAAATTTATCTTCATTTTTAGTAGCAGACGCCAAAAAGACAGGGCTTTGTACCATCAGATAGAAAAGGATTCTGGATTCTGCCTTCTTGTTTATGTTTACCATGTTCAGACCAGCGGGATAAATGTACTGTTGTCTATTGTCTAAGGTGTTCTTTGAAAGAGCGACGGACTGGAAGGGCTTCAGATAGTGAACATAGGAGGTTACTTCTTCCCAGAGCCTGCCACTTACTGGTAATAGGAAGCAAGTTTAAGCGTCTTCCGCATCGGTTCCAGCTTTATATTGACAGTAGACAGCTATACGGACTACAGGCATTTGGAATACAAGCAAAATCACCTTAGAAAGCTAATACCACTTCGGGCCACAACCCTTCTCGCATACCCTAGCGGTAAGATAAATTCATAACCAAGTCTCCTTTATTTCCTTGATTTCATTTCATTGCCCAAAGATAAATTTCATCTTACGGTCAGGGAGGAACTCAATAACAAGCTCATTAGCCCAGCAGAAGTCGGCCCCAAGGAGATTGATCTCAGCAAAACGCGAATTCGGAGGCGATTGGTGGACTGTGTGCTTATACCCAGCAATATTGACAAAGGGCAGCATATAATTTGAAAGGTTTAAAGCATCAAGCGCCTAGAACCAAGTTAGAATCGTATACTCTCTATAGGTAGGGGGCATTAACCTGAGGGGAGAGGTAGGTTGCTGAGGCACCAGTGTCCACAATGAAAAACACCCAACGAGTCTCACTACTCGAGCTAACAACACATGGAAGTATTGGATGGCTCTTATAGCCGTATAGATAGCTATCTATGTATTTAACCACTCTACTTGCACCATCCTCAGTCGCCTTGCCAAGGTAAGGTATGCCGAGGCGCTCTGAGATTTCAGATCGCAGTGTTCTGTTATCAACCTTGCTGATCGTGACATCGTATTCGTTCGCTGCAACAGAATCCCAGTCGTGAATATCGATCCATCCACCCCGGTCTCGAGCCTCTTGGTCCTTCCTTTCAATGATACGGGCTATGCGATTTGGATAATCAGTATGGGTTCGAGTGATTGTATCATAAGTTTCGGTCAGGACTTGACGGGCTTTGACAGGACATGAGGCGAAAGGAGAAAACAGAGGATGCTGAAGAGGTTTGTGAAGAGGTCCCTTAAGAGGACTGACTGTATAGTTAGTTAGTCCCTTTGGGGTTAGCTGCTTGCTGATTAATCTCAACATGGAAAAGCAGTGGAGATCGTAGGTGGAGAGCCCAGAGTCGGTTTTGAGTGGGCGAAGAAACGTAGCGTGTTTGTGCATCCTTATCCACTCCTTAGTCATGTACATAACTCAATGCATTTACGATTGTCCAGTATTTTCACCGCGCAGGCCCTGTCTTGAGTCATAGTGTATGGCATTAAATGTACTTTAAGATATGAGCAGCCTCGCATGCTTTTGTCTAACACATAGGGGGACAGTCGACATCGACGACGGAAATTCTCAAATCATTCAATTCCCAAAGTCATGAACCAACATGGCATTAGAAGATCAATGGAAAATAACATGCTATGCAACCCATTATCCCTCTAGCTCCGTTCGCTTCCCCGCAACCGCACAGCCTGGCCATACTTCTGAAGCTTGGTGATCAGGGCATCACCGTGCTTCACCACATCTGCATACTGCTTGTTCTTGGAGTCAGGGCGGTTCGTCTCGATAATGCCGTTGACACGGTCGATTGTGCATGCGATACGCTCGCTGGCGATGAACTTGGCGAGATCCCTATAGAAAACTCAGTTAGATTTTGCCTTGATGACGGATAGAACAAAGACTTACCGGTCCAAGTAGTCGACGGTAACACCAAAGTCGCTAGCCATGGTCTTCAATCCTACCACCCGGTAGCTTTGAAGCAGCTGCTTGTATGCACGCAGTCTCATCTCCCGCACAAACCAAGCGCGGTGCTCGTACAAATACCGGTCTTTGTTCAGGAAGTTGTCCTCAACAGCCGCCAAAGCTCGGAAGAACGATTGGTAGTTGCCATTGTAGAGACTGTTGACCAGGTTTGCAAGCGGAGAGAAGTCCACGGGTTCCTCGGCCTCAGCCTGCTGGCCCGAGCCAGTCCCCAACGTGGTGAGGTTAATGGCAGTCTGGGCCGCTCCTGTGGTTGTCCGCTGGACGGTAGCATCTTTCATCTCCTCGTCTTCGGCGCTGGGGCCAGAAGAGACTTCACCCGTCAAAGCAGCCAATCGGTCCTCACCAGAGCCCAAAATAGCCTTAATCTCTGCTGCATCGACAACCTTCTCTTTGAAGTCCACACGCTTCAGAGACAACGAGCCCGCAAGAACCGAGTAGATCACGAGGGCGGAGTAGCTGCAGAGTTCGTAGCTCGTAAATGTCGACAAGCTGTCTAGGAGAAGAGGAGCGGCGAGGTTGTAGGAGCGGATCGTAAGCAGGTGCAATCCCTTGTAAGCCTTCAGACGATTCCTCCGGTCCCAGTCACCACCGTCTTCAATGAGAGCATTGGCCCGCTCAATGTTTTTCTTGACAGATACCTTGTCGCCGAAGAAGATTCCGATCCGAATCATGGCCAGCACGAGGTCGATCTTGGTTCCGAGAAGCGTGATCTTCTCGAGAAGCTCTTCGTGGGATTCGATTGCTTTGTCCTGGCGTTGCATTTGAGTCAGCCATCTGCTACCACCCCTTCTCTAGCCGAAAGATATCTTGGGATCTCACCTTATCTCCTACTCGTGCCCAGAATTCAGCACGCTTCCCCCCTGCGGCCAACACCTCCGTCTCTCCAGCGGCCTCCTTTGCCTCATCCTCCTCCTTCTGGAAAGTCTCCAGATCCTTCTTGTTATCCTCAACTAGCGACTGGTACAGCGCCTCATCCCACGGGAAATCGATCTTCTGGGGCGTATTCCGCGACGCCAGCATGTTCGAAGCGAGTAGGGTCTTGGTACCACCTGATGCGTGCGGGTGCTGGGGAACGCCTTCACCGGTGCTGTTCAGGATACCTTCGACGGGGTGTGCGAGGTGTCGGTAGAAGGGAGCCATTTTGTACTCTTTGATGGCATCTTGAATTTTTTGAAGCGATGTCTGGCGAACTACCTGGGGAGCCGATGGGTTGGAGAGGTGGAAGACATCTTGGGCGAGAGAGAGGTCGGGGTGCTTGATGTACTGCGGATCAGACCCCATCGTGGCGGTAGTGGGCAGAGGTCAGAAATAAGGTAGGTAGAGTAGAAGAGAACAGAGAAAAAGGGAGAAAAGAGGGAGTGAGAAGCTGGGAAGAGATGAGATCGTTTGGATTGACGGACGACGCAAGACACCGAGACAGATACATCACGTAGGCGGACTGCCCGAGCTCAGCTGGATCAATGTTGTTCCGCCCCGGTCCACAATACCGTCATATCAAAGATCATTTACATTATTTTTGTTCACTTTATTTAGTTTCACAGCTCCATTATACACTGGATAGCTCTCTAAATTCACTCTATCTACGATAGAAAGCATTTACGGATGTCAAATCGAGTCAATTGCTTCAGCCGGTAGGTCATAGAAATCCACTGAGATCTGGCTGAGGGCTGGCGATGGACTCCCTATTGAGATTTGGCTTGTTTGCACCTCTTCCACATGATGCAATGCGGCCTTCTTTCCTGTTCAGCGAATCTATGAAAAAGATTGGGGATTCTCTCTAGATGAGAGAACTAAGGAGTGTTGGCCATAAATGCTATATTATACTGAAATAATGGGTTGAATTTAGTGTTTTGCTAACTTTGGTATATGCAAATTCTCGAATGTTGGTTTCATCATTCAAGATGGCCTGTCGTAGCATGTTCGGATTTACCTCTGCCTTTGTTATTTCTAACGGACTGGCAACTTGAAGTGAGTACAGTTGCGAAGCAATCACAGGATGGTATTCTAGCCTTTGGCGTCCGAAGAGTACAGTTCGATATAAGATTGTCGGAGCCGAGCCGAAATTCGAGGTAAAACTCGTTCTTTATGACCATAACCTCATCGACTAGGTCGGTCATCCAAGGAGCTAATCTTCGAATATGTAATTCGGTTTGCGACTCAATTGTTGAGTACAATTTCCCGGGATGATATATAGTCGGTCTTTCTCTGTCTTCTGGCCATCCTGCTTCAAAGGCGGGTATTCTAGTAGAAACTAATCTACATTATCCAGACACAGGCGACGTCAACAAAGAACCGAGCCCGATGCATGCGTTTGGCTATTTGGCTTCGAGGACACAATTAGCTCAAGAAAAGTCGGCCAACCCTTGCAGGTCGTATGCCTTCCTATAAGTGCGTGGCCACCACCAAATCTTCATATACTGGCAGAAATTGAAATTTCCAGTGTTGCCTTTGACCGAGTTGTCAAAGAACGCATCTGATCTGGTGTATGCGGCCTCTCGATTAACAAGAAATTCTTTGAGCTGTTGCCCGTTAGGTCCATAGACATATCAAGGCCGGAGTGACTGTCTTCGATGGGACGGCAGTATGGCGATCCGGGCTAGTCGATATCGAGTGGCCCCGGGTTGCGAAAGTTCGTTATCGATCCTTCAGACTTCTCAATCAAAAGCCCAAACCTGATCGGACTAGAGATGATTCTGGGGCACAGAGAAAGCAACCAACAAAAAAATACGAAGCAGAAAGTCGCACTCTCACTCATTTACTCGGGTCATGTGACTGTCTAGGAGCTTCTTCCTCGTTCGGGAAAGGTCTTAGGCACCCTCTTGTCCGATGGTACTGCGATGTTTTGGCAGGAGGTAGCCGCTAGTATGAGCACTAGGGCTACCTCCGCCCACGCCAGAGCCTCGCATCAGGCGCCTCGTCTGAATTCGGTGCATTGTAATTGAGAACTTAATAATTGGCGTTTAGGGCTGCCACGGAAACACTTCACCTGATTACTGCAGTGATTCGGATAGAAACAGCGAATCATGCGGTGCTGAGATTCAGTTCTCGTTTTGACCATTGGCCCGAATTCTTTAGAATGTTGTCGGTGGTATGGTTAAAGTCCTCGCATATTCTTTATATTCTTCCTTTGGATAAAACAACGTGAGAGAAGCCTCTACTTTTCGAATCAATTCGTGGATATGATGTCCTTCTATCCTCATATTGGTATTAACTCCCTGTTGCTTGGCCACGGACTGGCTTCGTGCATTGAACCTGGTCTGTTTGATGCAAAGAAACGGCGTCTCGGTACATCCGGCGAAGAAGAGCGATAACGTACTGCCTGTGATCAATAATCAAACCAAATGTAGCGCTTTTCTGGGTAAACTAGGACTAGGATATGCTTTCCAGCTCCCTTTCGGGACTTGTGTGGGTGATTGCTAGATTATAGGTCAACGCATTGGACATAGCGAAGTGGGTATTCTCAGGGACCTACGCATGTATACTTTATATCAGATGCCTTTCAGGCTTATTTTCGACCTCAAAGACAACCCAGATGCGCTGTTGGTCCCCGAGTTTCAATGTTCCGTCTGTCAGTTTCCGTGTACTCCCTCCCAGTCTGCCCAGCGCGTCACAATATGGAGCATTGGACCAGCACGTTATTTTATATTGTCTGCGCCGAGACTAATGGAGCTCCCTCTTCGTGCTCTGTGGCCCTCTGGAAGGGCTTCCCTGGTCTCTGATGCCTGCTCTACTACTTTCTCCAGCTTCCATTTGAGCATCTGTAGCTGTGCAAAAACATAAGGCTAGTCATTTCCAAGCCCGTTATTGACCTTGTTGGGTGTCGAAAAACGAAATATACTGAATATCCAGTCGTTTTTCCTGTTGTCAGACTCAGAGCGCATAGTCCTTTAACCGAGGGAAACGGTCCTAGAGTTTATGCTGTGCTGTTTCCGTGTTTATTGCAATTTAGCTTGCTCGTTTGATGACTTGAAAACAAATTTTCGTCATGGCCGCAATGAATTGACCAGATCTTCGGCTTCTCATGGGAATGCTGGACTTTCACGCTTGACTTGTCGACACTGAGGTCAAGAAGGGTGTGCAGCAACTTTGCGTCAGCATGGTCAAGATCTGAGGGGAGGAGACTTTTAATTTTTATCTTTCTTCACCAAGGATGAAGGTTATTCTGTCATCCGTCTCGTGAGAACCGTATGACGCGACGCTTGAGCTCATCCAAATGCTCCGTAAGTAGCTCTCGAACGACTTGAACGTAGACAGGAATTGTTTAGCGGTCTCATAATCCTCATAGAGACCAAGTGACTCCAGGTCATGGGGTTGAGGTTTCCTATTGAAAGTCCTTCCAACCCCGCACGGTGTGTTCATCGAGTATGCCCCTCTGCCTCCTCCCAGGCGGCTTGTCGCCATTGGAATTCCCAGCCTTTGTTCTCGACAGTAATAACCCTCGCCAGTGATTGATTCTGGAATGAAGAAATCAGGAGACTGCAGTATCTGGTACTGCTGCCAGCTGGATGCACCTAATGTTGGATTATGTACCTGCTAACAAGGAAGTAAAGTCACAAGGTTGTGGCCCATAGCGCAATAACTGCACTTTCAGAGTCCAGGGTCATTTTATCCCAGAGGTCCTGAGCCACATGGTTTTTGAAGTACTGCAAACTGTATCTGTCATGGCGTCAGGTAGTTTTTGTTTTCGATCGTGCCTGCCTGCTTTGGGCACATATCAGTAGTGTCATGGATGTGCTTCCATTGGGGCATTAATGCGCAATAAGAGGAAAGAGAGCTTCAGATAGCTCCATGTTCTTTCCGGATGCTGATTTGCATGTTGGGTTCGTCATATATGGTTCCTTGCTGATAACAACTCGAATGTACAGTTCTTGGTTTGTTGGCATTTTTGGGACCGCACGCATTTGAGATATTCCTTTGTGAAGTACGCTGCAGCAAAACTGGGCACAACAGGAATGCCATCTATCGAGAAAATTTTCACGTTCGACGGACTGGTGAATATCTCAACAAAAAGTGATCCCAGTGTTCAGTATGTGCTACTAGCATGTTTTGCCATATTCTTCAATGGTGTATGCACACGCTTGTCCAGAGTCGTCGAGTTTCCGCATAGCATAATTTCCGGAAGGACTGGGTACTTTGACCATTCAGACTCGATCTGACTGGTAGAATGGAATGTAGCCCTTGCGAGCACATCTGTGACAAGCTCGATGAACAAACACCGGTTTCTTGAGGGCAGCCACAACTTCCTTTGGCTTACTCGTTTGGCTACTCTTCATACATAAGCACGTCAATAGAGTCCGACCAGTCAGTGCTGGTAGTTTCCGTCACGATGGAGGTTCTCCAGTTGATACCGGAATGTCAAACTGAAATATTTCGCTTTCTCCATGATCAGCCATATTGCTATTTCGTCTCCAGGCGCACGTACTTTTGGGCTTCCAATTGGTGAGATTAAAGTCTGAGGATTCGAAGTAATGATGGGGTGGATAAGTAACGTAGGAAGAGATACGTAGGTAATGGACAAAGATGGTGAAAATGGTAAATAAGAAAACACTTACAGTCTTCGAATGAACTGTATTATCCATCGAAGCCCAACGCTTCCACAATGTCTTTAAGTCACCGGAGCCAAAACGAACCCACATCATCTGTGGCGCTTCGACTGGACTCTACCAGGTTCACCGAATGTATCATTTAAACGCGACATTGGAGTTCCCAATTGTCGGTACCGGTAGCTACATATTCAATAAGAGTTAGAGCAAAGTATATCCCGTGTTAATTTGACTGCTTACTTACTGATACATTGGAATTCCTCATCGATTTTATCATGCGTATTCATGCGTTGCGTAACGTCGTCCTCATGATTTCAGAGCCATCTGGGAAGCCAAATAGATACCGATACAATGCGTAGCAGTTGCATCTAACGCGTCGCTGGAACTGTGATTATATAGTGGACCATGACGAATCTTTCTTGTGCTTTGACCGGTCAGTGTTCTTTATCAGAACCAATAACCAGCTCGAAGGATTGGATTGCAGAGGATGCTGGCTGTATATAGAGTTCGGCGCATAATCATGCGGCTTGATATATTGTTCCATCACTAGCGCAATTGCCGCATAGACGCTCAGGGAGAACGATCTTATTCGTCAGCTTCTCGCTCAAGCTGTATCATCGTTAGCAACAATCTTGCAATTTCCAAGAGCCATACTTACTTAAGTAGGTCATGGGCTTATTAGAGGAAACTATCTGGGTCCACTTCACTTGAATCCCTCTCCTTGATAACATCAGAAGTAACTGATGTCAGCATCTGATGGGGCATTTCTATGGTTGCTGGTTGTGATTCGAATCAACCGTTCCGGGACTTGTTTGCGATGAAGGGTATATGGTGAGCGAGCCGTGGTTCTCCATTCTTTCTCATTGATGAGGTCTGGTAGCGGTGACCAAAAGTAACTAGTTAACTAGTTATGGTCTTGTGCTTAGGTAAGAGTTATGTAGGGGCCATTGTCTGAAGAACTCGGTCAAAAAGGACAAGAGATCCGACCTCTGAAGACCGAACTCGGGGCCCGTTGTCCTTTCACGAGGTTTTCGGACACCAAATTACTGACGATAATAAGTGGATAGAAGCGCGTATTTCATGTATATATACGACCAAGGGTACGCGCTGACTGTCTAGAATCGTCAGTTATGGCCCTTAACTTGCGCAGTGAAACCAGACCAGAAACAACATTTACAGCATTTTCGATGAAGGCGAATGCTCCAGATCCAGCTTCGACCGTCGTGGGGTCTCGTAGTCTATGCCTCTCTCGTAGCAGCAGAGCGCAACCCCCTGGACTCTAAGTGGCACCTATCCAGGTCCGTCCAATATACCAATATATAAAAGGCGTCGTGCACAGCTCGCACCCTATCAATCAGGCTCTGCTCGTTCTTTGGATGCTACAAGGAACAAACCGTCGTTACAGTCCGCCAAGTTCGCCATCGGAGCTAGTTATCAACCAAAAAACAGTCAGCCAGTCATTGTAACCAAGAGGGATTGCTGTTGCCACATACATTAGACTGGACGTCGAGCGCGTATCTTTTCGAGCTCCAGGTCCAGTCATCTCTCCCTTAGATTGAAAACCCACATGTTTGGGGTAATCCAGGTTCTCGATTTTATTCCAGGTGCGAGTTTGAAAATCAGACACCGGCGACCAGAAAGTTGATTCCCACTGACGGACGGCAAGCAAAACGATGGTTTCCATGGACTAGATTTCGTGTAGAATATAATGGAATGCATATAGAGTAAATATAAGAACGAAGGCTAGGCTGGGCCCATGTATTAGAAGATGAGTATATAATTCATAGCGCTTGTATATAGAAGGCCACAGTGACTAGTGACAAGATGAAGATGAAGAATTGGCGATTCTTCATGCTATACGGAGTACAAAAACTGATGCTTCCATTATTCACAGATGACAGTGAAGATATGATACCAAGCAAACGCCCAGAACCAACAACCCTATCCCAAAAAAGCCACAACCAAACAAACCAAACACCATCACCAGCACCGTCAAACAGCACCTACTCCTGCACCTGCACCTACCCCAATCAGTTCAAACAACCCCATGAAAAACCTGACATCTAATGTGCCATGACACATTCACCGCCAGATCCCAGTCCCGGACACCAATTCCATACTGTATTACCATACGATACAACACTCATACAGCCCAGCCAACCGGATAAATCAAGGGATACAAAACGCACATACCACACCTTTCATTTCGTAGCCAAGTTGCAACAAGCCTTTGCCACGAAAGCTTGTCGTTTTCCTTGCGTTGCTACTTAGGTCATTGTATGTGCTACATGAGGTATGTGGTACGGAGTATTTCAGAGCAATTGGTACTTGAGGACAGGAACGGAACAGAACAGGGCTGGCTATACCCCTGTACTTGTACCTATGTAGTAGTGGTTGGGGACTGTATAGAACAAGAGGATAGTACACCGCTAGATTGTGTCGATCAGGATTGCTCTAAGTATGATTCATGCATATGTACGCTTCTATCTATGTATGTACTTTGTGTGCTGTACAGACAGTTGGGTGGAAAGGGTGTTGCTGGCTGCTGGGTAACAGTAGTCGGGACTCGGCTCATCGTAGGTTGCACATCGGTACGCAGCAGCGCAGGTGGAATACCAACAATTCCCGAGTATAAAGCGTGAACCAGTGGAAACGCCAAAGGACAAGTACAGAATACTGAACAACAGAACGGTAAGGAATAAGTAGCAATATCCAATTGTATCTAAAAGACGAAGGCTAAAAGGCACGCAGGGCATCTATCATCATCTCTCATCAAGGTCGTGAAGACGGTGTGGAGGTGGTGAAACACAGGACGGCTAGCCCCAGCGAATCGTTTTTTCCCGCAAAGTAGAAATAGAAATGAAACAGCAACAATCATTGAGCCCACGTTTGGGGGTAGAAGGGGTCTTCCATTGACGACCCTGAATCAAACAGGGCGGTAGACCAAGTAGGATCCGTTGGCGAGGTCGTTGGCATAACCATGTTCGGATCAGCTGTCACGGACTTTTCATTTCCCTCACTGTATGTCGGTGGTTGCGATGTAGGGAAGGAGTCCTGAAACGGCTTCTGCTCTATGCCTATATTGGTCTGCAGTTGATGCTCCAATGCCGCCGTTGATTCGTTGGCCGATTTCAAAAAGTCATCGATACTCATTGAGTCCAGATTGCTCGACGCCAGGAGCTGTGCCTGCGGCATGCTGATGAAGGACGACGCCGAGCTGAGACGCAGGTGCTCCATATCCGAACCCTCGCTCACACTGTGCAGATCGCTGCCGGTGTGGGCGAGGCCAGGGAGTGGACCACATTCGTCCGCCTCCGAAATATCCCCCGAGGATGATGGGGCCGCAAAATTGGGGCCTATTGAGTTGTAATCGAAGCTCGCGTACGATGGGGCTTGGGTGCTCGTAGCAGCAGGCGCGTCCGAGGAATAAAGCGGGAAACTGGACCAATCGACCGACGGGGCATTGAACCCGGCATTGCCTACCGGGATTTCAGCATCAGGCGAAGCAAGGAACGGCTCCTGATACGGATCTTGGAACGCAATGCCGGAGACCGGGGAGGTCGTCGAAGTGGAAAAGCCCGGGAACATGTCGGCTGGCGGGACACTGGTGACAATCTGATTCAAAGGAGCCTTGCCAAATTCGTCTGCATTTGAGATCGTCGGCTGTTCCGAAGCTGCCTCATTCGACTGCTCCAACGGTGATTGTTGCGAAGCCGGGGCCGTTGGAGGAGGGAAAAAGGGCGAGATGTCAAGTGAGGGGACAGACGTCGTAAGGTCCTCAGCGGCCGAAACGGGAGCACTCTCAGGGGAACCATGTTCGGATTTGGTACGACGTGGTGGCCCGAAAAAGGGCGGCGGCGGCGGAGGCTGCTGCTGATCGGTCTGAGGGTAAGAATGGCTCTCCCCCATCATTGCTGACTGCGATAGCGGCAGGTGGTCGACCGAACGGCGGGTCACATCAGATGACGCATGAAAGGTATGCGAACGAGGAATGGTATAAGGCAGACCGCACTTGTGCGCCATGTCGTTGTGCTTGTGATGTGGCTTGTGGTGGTGACCATCCCGGAAGACGGTGAGGGTGCTCTCCGACTTGGTCGACGTCAATTGAGGCTTCTTGGGGCATTCCGACAAGATCGTAGGTTGTGCCGGGGGGAGGCCAGTTTCCGGAACAGGATCTAAATGGTGTTCCTTTTTCAGTGCACAGATACAGCGCTGGCCATGAAAGCAGCCACAGCGCTGACGGGAGTCCTCTGTAACTTCAGATCAGAACTATGAACCAGAGAACCAACACCAACATGCTCACGCTTGTGATCTCGCCTGTCGGCGGTGTGGGAATCCGAGTCATTCTTGTGACAATTCTTCTTTTTGTCACCACACTCGCACTTTGTGTGGGTTGTACGTGACTTGCGTAGACCGCGACAGTGGGCGCATTGAGAGACTGGACGGCCTTTTTTGTTGATGTGGGTCAATGGGCGGTCTGCATGGTCCATCATATTAGCCCAGGAATTATTGATCAGAAGGAATTGGAAGGAACATACCACTGTGGTGACAGCTGCTGACACGGTGACCCCGGACGCAAGCTTCACAAGCCCACTTCTCGCCGTCGATAAGCATTTCCGCGGTTACTGAACGGGGAACATGCGACGATTCGCGACGAGTAGAAATCCCAAAGGGGTTAAGAGTAAAAGAGGTATAAACCGGATTCGAAGACCGGTTGACACACAAAAAAAAAAAAAAAAAAAAAAAAAAAA